TCTGGACATTCAAAAAAACCCAAAACAAAGCAAAACAACTGGGCTGTTTTGTTTTTCTTTTACATTTTATTGTCGTCTGTAACTGGGACCCTGTGTACATAATTTCATCCCACCACATGTTCAACATGTGGTGCATATTCAGTATTTATTCAACTTTTTTTTTTTTTACTTTAAAAATAAAATAAATGAAGTCCTTATCGGCACAAATAAAGTGATGTGGAACATGTTGCATCTGTTCTTACCGAGCACAGAAGCTGCAGTGTTGTCTGTGAGGTGCAGGTGGGCTGTGATAGAGACCTGTCAGGTGCAGACTCCTCTGATGGAGCAGGAGCAGGACCCGGGAGGCTTGGAGGGTTTAATGTGGAGTTTAGAGACAAACCGTCACTCGCTGAAATACATTCTGGATAAAATACAGTGAGAAACGGGACCGGAGGACAGTTAGCGTTTATGCAAATTAGTAGCACCGACGTTGTCCTATTATGGCGTCAGCCTCTTTTGTTAGTTAAAAATATGTTCAGAACCGATGGGATGAGTAACTTAAAATATGTTTAAAGTCAGAAAACACTCACCATCTTCTATAAATGATTCAAGTAGAGCAGTGGCTGTGTCCAAACCACCCTCCAATCGCTCCATCTAGCTCGCTTTGACTTTTTTCTTCGGCCACCAAGCACAACAACACCTGCACTTCTGCATTTGACCACAGCTTTGATATTATTGTTTTTATATAGCTTCAAAATACTAAAAGATATGCTCCTCCAGTTATCGCTAATGGCAAACGTAGAGAAAAATGGAGGATTGGGTTGTTTGGAAAGACTCCACAGACTCCTCCCCCTGACCAATCAGTGACCGACAGTGTTTCTGACGTTACGGCTCGGCTCGCTTGGACCCCTTGAGAAGCCGGGCCAGAATTCTGGGAGTCTCGATGACAGAGGATGCATGACACTTAATTTCCTTGATTTTAATGAAAAAAAGACTTAAGGTTATGGTCTTTAAATCCTGTGGCCCTAGCAGTTTCTCCACCTTGGATATTTCCTCTTTGTCCCCATATGAAAAATCCATTGTGACAAATTTAGGAATGAAAATGGACCCCAGCCTGAAACTTGACTGCCATGTCAACAATGTGATTAAGTCCTCTTTCTTTCAGCTGAGGCTCATTTCAAAAATCAAGCCCCTCCTTTCTAGGCACCACTTAAGAGACAGTAATCCACGCTTTTATTACTTCACGCCTGGATTATTGTAACTCTGTTGATCGGAGTTAGCCAGGACTCACTCTCACGGTTTCAGCTGGTACAAAATGCTGCTGCACGATTTTTGACTGGTACAGGCAGGCGTGAGCACATCACTCCAGTTCTGATGTCCCTTCACTGGCTTCCTGTCCAGTTTCAAATTCATTTTAAAGTTCTATTGTTTGTTTTAAAGTCTTTGAACGGTCTTAGTCCTTCTTATTTGTCTGAATGCTGGTGAAGATTCTCAGTCATCCAGGACATGATGAATTCAAAAAGCGTTCAATACAAAAACAACTGGACTTTATTTGTAACAGAAGACGTTTCGCTCCTCATCCGAGGAGCTTTCTCAATTCAAAGAGCAGAGAGTGAGAGATTCAGGTTATAAGGCTGAGTGAGATAAGACACATACACATATGTAGATTGGCAATTCACACTTAAACAACATTAACAGTAAGAGTCTTTTGTTCCTCTAATTCACAGACGAGGCCCCTCTGTTCCCATCAGGTGTGAAAAACCAGCTGGGAATCTGTTTTAAAGTTGCATTATAGGTTTTTGAAAGTGGAAATCTGAGGCCTCCTCCTCTGTTAAGAGACGGCTTTTCTCTTTTTACATAAATTGCCTCCTTCACCCCCCTCTCAAACCATCTGTGTTCTCTGTCCAAAATGTGCACATTTTGGTCCTCAAAAGAGTGTCCCTTCTCTGTGAGGTGGAGGTGAACAGCTGAGTCTTGTCCTGTGGAGCTGGCTCTCCTGTGTTGAGCCATGCGTCTGTGAAGAGGCTGTTTAGTTTCTCCAATGTAGAGGTCTGGACAGTCCTCGCTGCACTGGACCGCATACACTACACCACTCTGTGTATGGGTGTTTTGTCTTTAGGGTGGACCAACCTCTGTCTGAGAGTCCTGCTGGGTTTGAAATGTATTGGGATGTTGTGTTTGTTGAAGATCCTTCTGAATTTCTCTGATACTCCAGCAACATAAGGGATGACGATGTTTTTCCATCTGTTGTTCTCCTTTTTGTGTTTATTAGTGTGTTTTGTAGATTTCCTCGCTGACTTGACAAAAGCCCAGTTAAGATATCCATATGTTTGAAGAGCTTCTTGAATGCGTTTCTGTTTCTTACCTTCTGTCTTCGTGGGGACGCATTCGGCCCGATGTTGTAAAGTTCTGATGACAGAGAGTTTGTGTTCCAGTGGATGGTGGGAGTCAAACAGAAGATACTGGTCTGTGTGGGTTGGTTTTCTATAAACTTCAATGAGAGGACAGCCTCAACATTGAAGTTTACAGGAAACCAACCCACACAGACCAGTATCTTCTCCACTGGAGCACAAACTCTCTGTCATCAGAACTTTACAACATCGGGCCGAATGTGTCCCCACGAAGACAGAAGGTAAGGAAAAGGAACAGAAACACATTCAAGAAAGCTCTTCAAACATGTGGATATCCTAACTGGGCTTTTGTCAAGTCAGCGAGGAAATCTACAAAACACACTAATAAACACAAAAAGGAGAACAGACGGAAAAACATCGTCATCCCTTATGTTGCTGGAGTATCAGAGAAATTCAGAAGGATCTTCAACAAACAAGATCCCAGTTGTTGGATTTGATATCTTTTGACAAGCCTTGACATTTCTTTGATGATGTGAAATGATG